GTAAAGAAAGCATAGTGTGTTGGAGGTGTGGTTTTAATTTATGGGTCTAATAAATATAGACTTTGGCAAGCTTTCCTTGTTTATATAATTCCTTGCCTGAGATTTGCTGTATCTCCTCAACTGCTGGGTGTTGGCCTTGCACAAAGAATGTTAATTAACCTCTGTTTTCTTTCAAAGCGTAAAATCACAAGTGGCCTTGTAAATAACATGTAGTTAATGGATAAAGAAAAATTAAGAAGCATGATGTGGGATAAGTTACAGCTGCAAGCGTTATTTACTAGCATACTTTGATTACATAAACCAGTCCCTGTATAGATCGGGTGCTGTCCCCAAGCACCAATCATCCAGTGCATGATATGAGGTATTAACCAATAGTATTAAAATGTGGGTTTAAGCAGATTCATGATTACATTCATCGATTGAATGGGCTGGATACCCTGTACCCACCTCTACAGTTGAGTTGATTGGACTCAACTGTAGCTTGACATAGGCCACTGAAAAAACCTCAGTGACGAGCATGGAGCTGAACCGATTTCTTGGGTTTCAGAGAACTGGATAAAATGTTGTCCCAGAACTGGCCGACATGGTCTGGATAAGCTTTTGGAGGGAATCCTAACACTGGGGAGAAAAGGGAGCAACTAGAGGGGAGAAAGATACTACAGAGACACTAAGTGGCTGATTGGCCTTTGTCGTCACCACAGAGGATGTTAAAAAGAAGAAATACTCCCTAGATAATATAAGGCCAAGGTGTCTGCACTGGCACAAGATGATATATTAAGGAGCAGTTTGTCCGTCTTGCGTTCTTTCTGAAGTCTCGTCCCTAGTGACTAACGCGGCTGATCTGCCAACACGCACATGCAGTCGCTCACTAAAATCGGCAGAAGAATGGAAGGCAGCAGATGTTCTTTTAAAAGGTGCTAGGGTGTTCCTGTGATTTACAGACCAGCATGCGTTGTTTTAGTACCAGGAAAATTGGTTGTCGCTATAAAATAGTGGTCATCTAGTGGTTTACAGAAGCTGTGCTAGTTTGAAACAATTACTCTACTAAAATTCTTTGCACATATCAGCAAAACCACAGATGGAGGAGAAGCAGCTGACAATGTATTTGGAGCTTCAAAAAGTCTCTTGTGAGAACTGCTCAGTTGCCTCTCACCTCACTCCATGACATTAACTCAATAGTCTAAGGGGGCTCACTCACCATTCCGGCACCTCTTTGTGGCTGATAAGGGAATTAGCTCTGGTAGCCAGTGCGCCCTCTTCTGGTGGTGTCTCACCACCATCGCTTCTCCTGGACCCACGTCCCCCCAAGGACCGCAGTGTCCTCTTCAGTGACACAGCCCTCTGGCCGTGCCACGCTCTGTGGTCCCACCTTCTAGGGGACAGCTCCGCAACCCCCGTCCAGCCACTTCTCTCAATGGTGACTGCAGTCTACTGTCTAACCACTCCCCCTGCTGCAAGCAGTGGTGGGGAGGGAACCTGAAGAAGGCCGCTGCTTGCCGCCCTTCTGACTGCTCCGTAGATTTCCCTGGGCCACTTCCCCCCAGCCCCATTGCCCTTGCCTGCGGATCTCTGCAGCCTCCCAGGTCTCTGTCAGAAGCACTGCTCTGTCCAGCGTACTAGCTGCCTTCAGCCTGCAAAGCAGCCAGTTTGCCTCCGTCATCAAGTTCCAGGGAGTGACTGAAACTGCTCTGCCCTGCAGCTCTTTATATAAGGGGCCTACTGGGGCCTGATTGGCTGCTCCCCTCAGCCCTTCTTTGATTGGCTGCCTAGGGCTCAAAGAGCCCAGTATGGGGCAGGCCTCGTCTTATCACTAAGGGGTTAATATTGTTTTCTAGTAGCCGGTTCCTATTTGTAAGAATACAGTGCCAAGTTGAAAACTGACACAGATCAACAGTAGGATGCCCCAAGAATTTGTTCCCGGACCATTGCTGTGTAGGATATTTATGAATGACTGGAAAAGGGAATAGTCACCTCCCTTAAAAATTGTTTGGTCAAATCCCTTATTAAAAACCTATACATAATGGTAAGAGAGGATAGGTCCCTCTGACATTCCTCAGATTAAGTAAATGGCAAATTAAATTCATTGTGTTCTCCCATCTTGAAAATGCAAGGTGATGGATTTTAGAGACCCAGGCACCCAGAGTGGTTACTGTTTAAAAAAAAAAAAAACTCTTTGAGTGGTTACTAATTAACTTCCAATTCTTTGTCCATAGTGACAGGGTAGCTCACTATATAAACAAACATTTTTATTCAATGGCAGCAAAGATTCATCACACTGTAAAATTACCAGTCCTAACATTAGACAGATGTTTTTGTTGCTTTTATAAACTAGAGTCCATAATAACACATCATTACTGAAAATGAGATCTCTAGTACATATGCTTTATTCATATTTTCATCTATAAATGAGTTATGAGTGTTCTATAATGGGATGGTGCAAGTGTGCAAATGGCTACAAGTGAATTACACACTTCGTAAATCAAGTTCTCTGGGAACACTGACTTCAGTTTTCTCTGGTAGCCTTTTAAGGGATACAGAGATGGGCAATAAGAATGATTAGAGACACGGGAGACTTCAGTATGAGGAAAAAAGGGGACTGAAGAGCACCCGATTTATCTTTAATTTTGTACATGTCTAAGGATATCTTCCATATGCCTGTTCTCTTATCATATTCTCCTTCTCATAAAGAAAAAGGGATATTCAACAAAATCAAGAGGCACAAAATGTCAAACTGAGGAAAACTCTACACGCAATATCATTGCCTCAGTGGGATTGTATCTAGTGGCACTGAGTTCCACAGGTTAAAGAGCTTAGAAAGATTCAAACAATAGATAAGTATATGGATAATGAATGGTGAGCTTATGCCAGGAAGCATGAACTGTTTTCTCCTAAGTAGCTGGTTGTTCGTATTAAGTGATGGGATAGGGAAAAAAATTTATTGCGTGACATGCTTCACCATTATCTAACTCTGCAATGTAACCATAAGGTAAGTACTTAGTGGGCCTTGGAGATACGTATGTGACACAGGCTCCATCTAGCAAAGTAGTCAGGTCTTGCTCACTGTTCTTTACAAGCAACTCCTAACAAACTCACTACACCTAATACCTACTGAAAGCAGTATCAATACTATGAAAGTTTGCAACTTACACACATCTTGCAATGATTAACCAATTCTCAAATATTATGCCCTTATTTAAGGTCTTGGAGTAAAAGTTAGTTACATTATTCCTTATAGTCAGCAGGGTAGGGCGACCAGACAGCAAGTGTGAAAAATTGGGACGGGGGTGAGGGGGTAATAGGAGCCTATACAAGAAAAAGACCCCAAAAACGGTACTGTCCCTATAAAATCGGGACATCTGGTCACCCTAGCAGGGAATCATGTCTCAGTAATAGCTCATTCAGGCAGGAGGGAGCTGTCACCCTCCCTGACTAGCTGGCTATGTAATGTATTGATCAATTGTAATTTGTCTTTGTCTACTGTTGTACCAATCCAGAAAAGTCAATGGAAAACGAAACTCTTGAAAGTGAAAAGGAATGAGAGGACCGTGAGGGGATCACACCATCTGGGAATAAAGACAAAAGACTGATTCAGTATATCACAGGGTGGAGGACGACACTTTGGATCCATTCACTGAGGAGGGAATGCTTCATGAAAGCACCTTGGGGCTAGCAAATGTGCAAAAGGCTGACCTTGGGCATGAGAATCTGTTCTGTTACCTTTCCTAGCTAACTATTAATACATGTAGGCCCTAGTTCACGTTACAGGGCTCCATGCAAAACAAAATCATCAGTTTTTCTGTGATGGACATTTGATTTCTTTCTTACATAAAAAAGCTCAAGTGTCCTTTTGTATTACCATCACAGAACTCGAGTGCTGTGTATGGTACAGGCCTGGTGGGTTAAGGTAAAACTGGTAACCTGGGGCACACTGTTCTTTTGCAAGCAGAGGACCTGGGATTTCTGTGGGTATGCAGAACTCAGGTGCTGGACACCATAGGAGGACGCTTAGAGGCACCCCAGCCCGAATCCCGTCAATTGTCAACCTGGAGGGCAAAGGCAGGGCTGGTGTAGCCCAGAGGCCGAAAGGCTGGTTGTACTAGGGAGCGCTGGCAAGGCTCCCTCACATTGGAAGCAGGTGACAACAAGGTAACTCCCAGGCTTGGGTGACCCAAAAAGCATCCGAATACATCATAGGAAAGATTCTACAATGCATTTTAATTTTAGCAAGAGGAAGGTCTTGTGGTTTTGGCCCAGGCCTGGGAGACCTGGGTGAAATCCTGGAACTTTGCCCAGATTTTCACCTGGCATTTTATTTGCTCTGCCACAGAAGTGACCTTAGGCACCTTGCCTAAGTCTCTAGGCATCTATCGCCTCATCTGTGAAATGGAGATAATATTTAGCCTATTACGTCACAGGGAGGTAGAGAAGCTTAGTAGGTAATAGATAGAAAGTGCTTTGACATCCTTGGGAAAGGAGACCCCTTCAACAGTCATTCACTGGGTAAAAAAATACCCAAAGTATCTTTGAAATGACAAAGTATCACCATCATTACCGCCTAGATACTGTATTGAGAAGGCAGTATCCACATCATGTACCTGTGCAGCTATCATCTGTACTGCAAGAACAATCGCCAATTGTATCTTTCTTCTACTCCTGCCCATGTTCACTCTTTTCCATTGACAAGTGATGCTGGTTTATGGGTCGCAGAGATGCTTGGCTTCTTCAGCAATCCCCAGTATTGGCATGCTCCTGGAAAATGCAGCCATGAAGCGCTACGCCAAACGCTACATCCTCCCAGCAGCGAGAAATGAATTTCCTGAAAGCAAACAGTGGGAAAACACCGGGGACTGACATCTGTTACCCTTTTGGATGGTGGATTCCTTACCTCCCCCTTACCGAATCACTGCCTAGAGCATGAAACTTCATTTAATGTACACAGGATTCGGATTTTTTTTTTAAACGTCAGAGGAAGTATGAACTGTCTGATCAATTTCCCTGCTGAATCTTTTTTGAAAGCCTTGGGCAACAATGACCCCATTTTTACAAGAGATTTAGGGATGATGGAGACCCAGATAACACAGTGATGTGTGCTACAGAAATGCATGAATACCTACTAATTAAGAAAACTTTATAACAGCTTCTGAACTGGGAGCCAATAGGGAGTCAAAGGGTTGGTGGTTTCACTGAACCTCCATGGCTGCCACTACAAATCCCACAAGAACACGTTCTCTTGCAACCCTCTGGCACTGCCATTGCGAAGAGCAAACGAGCTCAGCAATTTAGATACTGTATTCAACTTAAGGTCATTTCCAAGGTCTTAGGAAGTGACCTGAAAATTTGCCCTTTTATTTTATCCTAGTCAATTCAATCATCCCTGAAGAGGATTCTGGGTCTGTAAAAAAGTGCTTTCAAGTTGTGATTTCTAGAAGTTCTCCAAGACTAAATTATTTACATGTGTGCTCTCAGTGAGTCTAGATATATTAGATCCTCTGCATGGGAAATACATTGACACGAGCTGTTTGCATCTTGGTTCTCCTAGTACAGCATTTCAAATAAGCTCCATGTAAGAGAATCCTTGAGTCACCACAAAGGACTAGTCTCTTAAGGCAGATAAATGAACTCCTCACTCAGAAACTGGACTTTGTACTAGGCCACCTTCACAACACTAAAGAAAAACAAATGGAAAAATGTGGCTGTGAAATACGACACTAGACTACTACACTCATTTCTAGTTTGTGATGTAGGAATGTGGATTACGGACAATTAGGAATGTTCTCACGGGTGACTGGATCAGGGACATTGGGTTCATAACCAATTGACTGATCTTTGGCCCATCTCCTGTGAATCCCAATAAAAGGTCCCAATTGTGATGGTGATTTTTACAACAAGGAAAGCCTTTAGGGATGGATTATAAAAAACAACAACATGCATTTATTCAGCAAAGCACTTAACAACGTGCTCCAGTCCTGCTGAATCGCTGCTTGGGAACTGACCTGATATTACCAAATTTCACACAGAACAATAAATGGCCAACAATTTGAGCCCATTCCCAACCTGACATAGAGAAGAGTCCTTGACCTAGTGGAGAAAGAACTCTATACCCTATTAACCCTCACAGTCCCACCCCTCCCCTCCTATTCCCCTAGATTATTTGATCAGGAAAAGCCTAGGATATCTTGTGTTTGTAGCTGTGCGCCTGCCTTTATTTTTTCCCTAACACAGGTTATGGGGGGAGTTTGTTAAAAAAAAATGTAATCTCTCCTCAAGTTAAAGGGGTGTTAGGTGCCTTTGAAAAATCTCACCCCTTAGCTACAAGATCTGTGACAGTACGTTGTGCAGGCAACTCTTAATTAGTCAGTATGATAGAACTGAGATCAATGAGTACGTTCATACACTGCCTAATACGGTCTCACTCTTTCCTTGTGCTCCCCCACCCCCACCCCGACTGTATCCACCTGTCTGTAAGGCAAGGACTGTCTTTAAGTATCAATCTTTGTTCTATGTCTATACAGCACAGTACAGTCTGGATCCATGAACGATGCTCCGAAGTGCTACCACAATACAACACAATAGGTAAGTGACAAAATCCCATATGTCATCACAGATTCCCTCTTAACCTCCCCGCCTGTCTTGCGAAGGAATGTAATGGAAATGAGAACATTTATTGTTTACACAGGCACTTTGAGGTGAACTTCCCCTCATTGAACTTGTCAGTTCCAGGCTGATGGTTCAGTCTTCCGCATCTCCATTACCACACTGGCTAATAGAGGGTCGAAGGGCGGAGGTGTGAGGTGGGCCAGAGTACCGCCCACTACTCCAGGTCTGGAGGAGGTGGATCTGGCCCACCCACTCCTCCAGGTCCCAGACCAGGGACCCTGTAGATAGTTAAAGGGACATGAGCAGACTCATTAGAGAGAGATTAAGTATTTTGGTAGAGAAGAAAACTTCCTGAAATGCTAGTTCAATATGGACTAGAAGCACCAACTCTAGGGATTCAAATACCCTGCCTGCAATCACTAACCAGCCTGTAGACGGTCTCAAACATTATGCTGTACCAAAACCTGCTTGTGCTCAGCAGTTTTTTAAGCAGTGAGAGCTTGGAGCACAAGCACAGTTTTATTTAAGATTAAAACAAAAAGCCACATCTGTCTTCATTCACAACATTTGGTGTTAGAGAGGGAAAGGAAGTTGTTGGGTTTAGTGATGGTGCAGTGTTAATGGCCTGTGATATACAAGAGGTCAGACTTGATCTAATGGGCCCTTCTACGTCTCTGTGACTCTAAATCCTAGCCCCAATGAAGCCTGACACAAAAATCCTATTGAGCTCAATGCGGCCAAGATGTCACTCTTTTTAACTAACATAATCCAAACCCCACTGTCTGTGTGCTCTGGCCCTCTTGGGGTATAGTATTCCAAGGTGTTGATAGAGCAGAACAGTGCCTTAAATAGCCAAGCCAAGTTTTTGTAGGATCCTTTTCCAGACTTTAGTTATGGGGAACAACTACTGATGTCCAGAGACCAACAAAGAACTTCATGATTTATATTGTTTTCCCTGTCCTGGCTTGTGAAAACAAGAATGTCCTCTAGACCTGTTGTCTATGACTCACGACTATGAACAGCGGGAGGCTGTTAAAAGCAGCAGCTTCGAGGGCATCAGAAGTGATAACATTAAAAGGGACAAGTTCTCCCATCATACACAACAAAAAAAGCCTGCTGTTTTTCCTGGAGACAGAAAAAGAAGGTAGCCCATTCCTTGTCCAAAACCTGAGCTGAAATGAATTTTAAAATTCACAGTTATAAAGCTGGTTTAAATATACAGATGGTTTAAATCAAAGATAGGAGACAAATATTTGTAACGTGAGGAACTGTTTTCCTGTTATATGAAATATGCAAAATGTGTCTCTGAACTGTGTACCGGGCTACAGCCAAGACTGGCTCCAAACACACCGCAGGGAAATCTGGTTTTGTGACCCTTGGATCCCGGTTTACACACGTAAGGGGCTTAGGCAGTTTGGGTGCTTATCTGAACCAAACCTCTTGAGGACTCCATATCCAAAAACAGAGATAGGGAAACATCAATCCTCAGTACAACTCTTCCCATGATCTTATACAGTCATCTTTTTTAAAAGGCATTTTCCTGCACACATCTGGCAACGCACACTAAAATATACAGCTTTATAACCCACCCACCCTATGTGGACATGATTTTATATAAAACTCAACCATAAGCAATGTGGATTTACCACAACCGTCCTGCCAATGAAAATTCATTTGACGTTCAGCTCCTTATTAATCATGGCCTGTTGCTGGTCTGATTGATATCAATGCCAAAACAGTCACTGAATTAAATGTTGATTTGAGGGTGTGATGATGTTTGCAAGTTCACAGTAAATTAGGGCTAGAACTTCCTAGAACATTTGGTTTTCTTACGTTGGTTGACAACACTCATATGCATAATTCTGGTAACATACATGAGGTTTGCTATTAAGAAAACCAATTTTCCCTCTCAAATACTTGATTACATTCAGAAGTGTCTCCCATCAAGTGAACTGTCATGCGGCAGGCACAGCGGGTCTAAAAATGCAATTGCACTTGAATTTTACAATATTCAAGATCACCTGGCCAAAGTGCTTATTCAGTTAAGAATCTTGTACAGTGTAATGCAATGTGACAGGCTTAAAATTTCAGTTCAATGATCAATATTATCCATTCACACAGGAGGCAACTAATCCAAATTCCAGTGGGTAATTAATGAGAAGGGAAGCAGGTGGTAATGTGTTGGGGGGAGGGAAGGAATGTTACTCATCAGCAATAAAAATAATTTTCACTAAGCATTAAGATGAGTTTTCACTCCACCAAGCATAAAATGGGCAGAGAGTTCTCAAAAATCCAAACTTAGACACCAAACTTCCAGCTTCAAGAGAAAATTAAACCACTAGTTTTCCTCTGACATACAGAAGACATCTGTGACTGTAAAATGAAAGATAGATACAATTTGAAACCTGAGGCCTGGCTTCTAGGGCTGTCAGTCTGGCCCCTTTGCAGACTATTACACATTTACATTAATATATCTAAAGGCTGCTCACTGTTGGAAACTGATCACAGCAGATGCAATGTGCGAGTGACAACATCCCATGGGAGGCTCTGGGCCAGATTCCGCAGTATTGTACATGGCAGGGTAAGCGACACATCTGGTATAAAAACAGGAAAATGGGTCTTGCTAAATAGCACTGACTGGGAGTAGGGAGACCTGGATTCTTTTAGCGATTCTGACGCTGGCTCATTGGGATTCTGAGCCTGTCACTTGGGCCAACATTTTCAGAAGTGGACTCTGATTTTCGGTGCCTAACATGGGACATCGTGGGCCTGATTTTCAGAGCACCCAGCGTTCCTTCCGACAGCAAGAGGGAGCTCAACACCTGATGCAAATCAGGCCCAATGTGCATCAAACTGGGCACCCTACATGAGTGACCACTTTTGGAAAATTTTGGTTTTAGGACCCACTTCGGCTCTTTTTAAAATGCCAACGGCAAAACACTCATTGATTTAAACGGACACTCAATTGCCATCTGTTTCACTACCAAATACTAAGATGGGGATTGCATTCAGTTATCCCAAAGTCCTTAACTGATAGTAACAAAGTGCAAGGCAAGAACAGAGTATATTCTGCAAGACGTTCTTGTGCCTTGAATAAATCCTCAAACACACATTCACTGTACCAACCAGCCAAAGCCTATGTGAGGCCTGCATTCTAATTAATTATTGCAAACATGATCCAAACAACTTAAACAACATTCTTGTGCTACTCTACACCAATTGCAAGTACAGTAGCGAACAGGTTTTTAGACATGCTTCCTATATCACTGGTCCCAGCTGCACCTTAGGTGATGAATCACATCAGAGTGGCCTTGGCCATTATTCAGTGGTGTCTCTGTCTATTGATTGCTTAATAAAGATAAAAGCTCAGTGTAAATACAAAAAGGGGGTAGAGGGCACCAGTGTATTTGTTGTTTGAGAATCCCTGAGAATTAGTGCTCAAGTCTTATTGAGTGCTTGATTAAGATCACAATGTTATCACGGGGCAGGCTGTTGAAATGTAACGTTGTAGTGAACCTGGTACAGAGATTTGATTCAGAGCAGACTAGTGAACCTGGTACAGAGATTTGATTCAGTACCCAAAGCTTCTGATGTTTTTCCAAAGTCTGAACACATTGGGCCAAATTCTGCTCACACTTGCACCAAGCAAAGCCTATGTTTGTGACCCCCCACCCCTTCTCCCACCTCCGCCCCTTTCAGTTGTTACTCACCAGGTTCAGAAGCCCTACTCTAAACAAAACTTTATACCGGTTTCTTTTATTCTCCTAGGCTGCTTTCTCACTTAGCGGAATGTCACCTTCACCTCGTGCACTGGACAGCAGTGCTGACTGGGGATTATAACTGGAGACTGGATGTCAGGAATCCTGGATTCTGTTCCCAAGTCCAGTGTGGACCACTTTAAGTCACTCACTTAACCTTTCCAGGAGGCTTTGATATCTTTGACTAAGAGGTGTGATGTAAAGTAAGCCTGATTCTCAGCTATGCTGGGAACATACAGCTCCCACTGTCTTCAACTGCAGATCTGAGTGCTCAGCATCACTGAAAGTCAGGTCCTGGATATTTTATTAACAACTCATTTCATATAAACCTCCCAAAAAAGCCATCAGACGACGACTTTTGGTCACCCCTGAGCTGGGATGACATTGTAGGGTTGAAAACCATTATTAAATTCCACACACGCTGAGAAGGAAACAATACATCTTCCACCACACAGCAGAAATCGCCAATTGAAGCATTTGTGGTATGTTTGGACAATCCATGATACGTAGGGCTACCACCATACCAGGATTTCTTACACTTTTTCTGGGTTCTATATCTTAGTGAACTCTGCACCTCCTTCACCCACCGCCATAGACTTCTTCCAACCAGCAATCGCAGCCAAGAATGAAATATAATGAAAAAGGGAATTTCATTTATTAAATTGCTCTCTCTCATTTTTTTTTTAGCCACAGCAGTTGCTCTCGGTCGCTTCATTCCCAGAGCTCCCCGCAGGATCCAGAACAGCGACCACATGTGAGCCGCATATTTAAGCGGAGATGGTGGGCAGTTGTTACCAATGTGTCTGTGTTAACCCCTTGGAGATAGTCATCACTCATGTTGCTGGCAAAGGCTGGATGGAAAATGCCAGTATTCAAAGTGTTAAGTAGCTCAGTTGGCGAGCCACTGGTTCCACAGAACTGGAACATCACCTTTTCAGGTAACAGTGACATGTGTTTTCTACAATTAGCACCAGCAACATGCCTGGTATATCCTCTACTGCTGTTCCCAGGATTGCTAGATACTGTGCAATAAATAAAAAACAGTGATATTAAGGCTGAATTTCATCTTGAAATCACAAATGACAAATGCCTTTTTTTCCTCCACTAAACAAACAGTTAAGAGAACAAAGCTACTTCAAGAGCTTGCTGCAGGAGATTTTTTGGTAGGCAAGAGTCTGTGTTCCTATGTTCAAATCCATATCTTTAGGGAATCCAGAAGTACTTGAATCCAAGCGCTGAGCTGGCCCATTAGACAGACTGGATGCAAACCCACATTTGATCTAACTAGAGCCAAAAAGACTTAACTAGATGTTTGTATTTGTTTCCCTGTTAGTTCTAGTGTCGATCAGTAGACTGACTTCTCTCTGCCTTCCTCCTCTGGGGATTTCACTCTTTGGAAATAAGATCAGGACAGCTTCCTTGGAAGCTCCATACTTTCTACGTGCAAAGGGCTTTAGATTGGTCCCTAAACTGGTCCCTGGCATTTTACTGATTAGAGCGTAGGCTTTACAGGCACAGCAAGAATACATCAAGTCAAAAATCTCAGGAGATCTCACAAGCGAAATCCAGAGTTAGAGAGAAACTGTGTGTGGCTTCAGGAGCTGAGATATGAAGCAGAAGATCCAGCGGATGACTAAACACAAGCAGAGACTTCTATGTAGATAGTCATCCTTCCAAGGGGTGAAGCAGCCAGTATCTGAAGACCAGCAAGCATTTCTGATTAAGAGAAAAACGAGCAAAAGCTAGATTTTGGCACTGTCCAGGGGAGAAAGAAAGGAGAAAATATTAAGACAACAACTGGTGGTTCAGAAGAAGGCAAAATGCATTACAGAAGTTCTGTGTGCCTATCTGAAGGGAAGTAACAGGTTCCCCCTTCTAACGAAAGCCTGCAGTTGAGAGACACAAGATGCATTTCACCTGGGTCAGATGAGACTCTATCAATAACATTGCTATGAACTGAGTCACAGGCAGTTTAGCAGCATGAATGTGATTTAAAAAACTGAAAAAGTGTCTGGGGGGAGGGAGGGCTGTTTGACGTTCTAGCAAAAATATTTGCCAGATGTCACCCATTCTACTCATATAGAGTTGAGGAAGAAAGCAATTAATGGTAAATGCATTCACAGGAAATGCCAAGTCTCAGGAAGCATGAGGTCTGCTGGGGGGAGTGCTCACATTGAAATCATGTACCTGTAGTGTCTGGCGCAAATCAGACACACACATTCACATTCCCACACATACTATTTTATTTCAAATAGCTGTTTTAATGTCTGCCTTGCAGAGCGTTGCAGGAAGAGGAAGTCTGCCTCTTTGATCACAAGGATTTGGTTGCAGTCAAGCTGCGGAATAGCCTTGTAAACGCCTGATGGTCTGGAATACATTATAACCAATGGTAAGCAACCAGTCGGAGGAAATGTTCAGATAAGAGAGAGATGGGTACCAGTACAAGAACCCAGACAGACAAAAACACTAGTCATTAGAACTTGAAAGCAAATTTCAATTCAACCATATTTTCTACCCTACTGTATTTCCTTTATGTGAATTTTTGTGCCTTCAAGCTTTACTAGTACAAATACGTCCAAAAGCCTAATTGTGAGCTTGACTAGAATATTCTTGGAAAAGACATTTAAATGTTTGTGTTCACTGGTAAAGTTCGCAATTTCCAATCTGTGTTGTGTTGCTTATATACCAGAGTCATCCAATCAGAGATCAGAAAGAGCACAGTTTGACTTTTGTAACTAAGCAACATAGCACAAACTGCAAATTGTGAATATTCACAATTTGACAAAATATTTTATTTGTTGTCTATTAATTTCTTTCGGAAAAAATGTGAGGATTTCACTTTTTGTTCAAGGGACAAGTTGCAAATGAGATTAAAAAAACAATCAAATAAATTATGTATGGACCAATTATTTGCTCACCTCTATATACAACATTATGGCTGGCCTCTGATATTAACGGAAACATGACTTCCCAAGTGCTGTTTAGTTGCAGTAATAAAACAGCATGTAGCTGAAGCCAGTAACTGCTATTACTGTAAACACAGAGTGACTGATTTAATGGCACCTTCCGTTCTTGGTGAACTTGTCCTTTGTAGAAGTAGCAAGCACAAAGGATTGCTTAGAACCAGAACTGTGCAGAAGGGAGCATGCGTTTAATACAGAAGGTGGCTTTTGCTGTAAACTTGTACAAATTGAAACTGAAAAATATACTGCATGTTTATTTTGTGTTGGTTTTTTCTTAATTAGATCAAAGGATGCTGTTCATAAAATGTTCGGCCCAAAACATAACCTCACTCTGCTAGCCATAAATGGGATTCATTTAGCAAAGCAACTTAGAGCAATCACATTTCCACCCACACACTTTGAAGAGGACACAGTTTAAGTTTGAAAATGAATAATTAACTAACTATGAGTTAGTATACCAATGTTTTCCACTTTCAGGAAAAACAGTGGTCTTTCTCCTGGCTCCAGTTACCATAGAACGATCAACGTTTATAGAAATCAAGGAGGAGATGTGCCATGCGTGTTAATAATTGACTCCTGCACTCAATGAAAATTCCAAACCTGAGTGTGGCAGAGTAAGAAACAGCAGGTAACAGTGTGTGACTTCACATCACTGTTTCCCCACCTAAATAACTGACGCAAAAGGAAATAGACTAATTAGAGGCAGACCCAATCCAAAAATTTGGATTCCAACAAGCACAAACACTGCAGCTCAGATCCTCCTCTGCTTCTAATTGAACTAGTACCTTCAAGGCTCTAACTGAAAACAAACTCTTTGGAAGTCTCCTTCCACTTTTATTGACCGAAGAACCCATTGTGACTGTAGTCTAATGCTTAAAGGAGGGATGGGACTGGGCGTTAAGTCTGTTACAGAGCAGGCAATACAGTTTAGGAGGCTTATGCGACATTGGGCGCTTAGACCCAGATCTACAAAGGGACTTGGGCAACTTTAGCCCAGATTTGCAATCCACAAAACTCCCACTCAGCTCCATCTAATCTTAAATTCACTTGGCACCTCAATTTTCACCAAACCCTCAATTCCCATAGGAACCTAGGTTTCTGCCTCTGGATATGCCCACCACTGCCTCAGGTAGGCATCCAGAATGCCCATCTCCCATCTCATCCCCAGCATGACCCACAAGCCAGGTGAAGATAGGTGGAACAGCGCCTATCTTGCCTGTGGGCCCAGATCCAGTAGGTGTTCTCGAGCACACCTACCTTTGCACAAAATGGCCAAGGAGTGGCGGGAAGGAAGAGGCAGTCTCTCTTATAAACTTTAGTCCACTGGTTAGGGCAGCGGTTTTCAACCTTTTTTCATTTGCGGACCCCTAAAAAATTTCGAATGGAGATGTGAACCCCATTGGAAATCTTAGATATAGTCTGCGGATCCCCAGGGGTATGCGGATCACAGGTTGAAAACCACTGGGTTAGGGAACTCACCCAAGCTATGGAAGACCCTGGTTCAATTTCCTCATCTGACTAAAGAGGAGACAAGTGAGTGCTCTGACCACTGGATTATGGAGTCAGTCTCACATTCTGTCTCTAGGCCCAGTAACTATGGAAGCCATTCCACTTTATATGAATAATTCAACAAGAGAGCATGAGAGAGACCCACATCGGAATAGCCCATATTCCAGTGGTCAGGTGACATGAGATATATTTTACATTCTGTAGGATTAGGATAAGTAATAACGACCCATTGGTTGCTCAAATCAACATCCAACTATGCTTGATTTTTAAGATTGTTGCTCAAAATCCAAACCCTTACCTGAATTCTGCAAATGTCCCCAATCTTTATAATGGGCCAAACTCCTACACCAACCTTTTTGGTGTTTAACTCATGCTGCATATTTGGGACCCAGGTATCAATCTCTAATATTAATGCCATATTTAATAAGCTAAAACTGTTGTTAGTACCGTAAAGCCTCCTCTCACCCCAGTTTTTAGAAAGCTGCAGAGTCTTCAATTCTTGGACTATTTCTGGGACTGACGAATAACCTCTCGATAGCTATAGCTATCATCTAAATAACATGGTGATGTATCAACTAGAGAGGCCAGCCACGAGGAAACCTAGTGACAGCCTTGCTAGCATGAACTTTGCACTTTGGCTTGAGCTATGGTATCAGAGCGGCGTTAACCCAGAGTCTCTGTTATTAGTTATACCATCGGTGGCAAACCCGAAGAAAAGGGATTATGGGAGAGATGGAAAATTGAATTACTTTAACTGACCACCCTCAGAGCCATCATGTGGCACCATTTTCAGTAGCCATTGATGGAAAGACCACATCATTGCAATCCCTCTTTGGGGGCTGACCTGAGCACAACCTACCTCCATAAATTACATCAATGTAGTTACAACAGTTCACATTTCCCTACTCGAGGCAATCCCTTTGTATACAGTGACTAAGTCTTTAACCCAAAAAAAATGGCTTTCAGGAGTTCATTCAGAAAACTGGGGAGGTATGAAAACCTTTCCATGAAATGCAGCACTACCTGAAATTCAAGGAGATGTTTGCATTTCCTTAAAAGCCTTTGCACTGTAAATTTCACATTTTTTGATAGGGAGAAAATAATTAGCCTGATTTCCATTGAAGACAGGCCCAGTTCTGTATTGTCAGTTTTGATTTCACCATCAATATGTAAAAATATAGGTGATGTTAACACAGTCATGTACATGTACAATATTTCAGTCTGGCCTTCACCGCTATATTTAATTGCATGAAATAAAATAATGCTATGCATTAGTACACTTACCGTGTTCACTGTTAAAAAAACAATTAATAATTAGAGTAAAATTTAATAAAAACACAAAAAAAGTTAAATGTAAAATCCATATAGCAGGGGGTTACCAGAGAGTGTGATGACCCAATAAATTATTAAGTGACCACAAGCCAGACAATGCAGAGGGATCCCAAGGATAACGATTCACCAGTTTGTAGGCTCCCCCCTCTCCCACGAATATACACCGTATCTGAACTGGAATAAAGTCAGGGAACGAGCTATTTAAAACTTGGCCAAACACTGAGCTTTCTCCCCATATATATATCAATATATTTAACAGAGATGGAATACCAGATAACGCTGATCTGGTGACGGTTTGCCATCAGCTGACTGCTTAGTAGATCTGGTCAGGAAACCAGAATTTCCGTTCCATAGGAAATCCCAATATTTTGAAAAAAAATTCTGTTCCAAATTGGAATAAAGAGCTACGTTTTCCAGCAAAATGACAATGCTAGGAAAAAAATGATTTGGAAATATTTATCAAAACGAAGCATTTTTACCTTATGGTATTTCAACATGAAACAAAATATTTACGTAACATTTAATAAAATGTGGACGTTAAAATGAAATGATTATTTTATATTATAATGTATATTAATACACATTAAATGTATGCTATAGTAATTTTAAGTCTAAACAAAAGGAATCAATGTTCTCCAAATTACATTTTTCCTGTCAAAACTTTTGCTGAAATTGACATACTCCTGAAAAAAGTCAGATTTTGATGAAAATGCATTTTTCAACAGAAAACGACTCCGTCACATGTTTTTACCAGCTCAACTAATTAGTTTTGAGAAGCAGTAGATGCAGTACAAACACCGAGATGTTTGATTCACTCACTTAACAAAAGCTATCTAAACTTTAAGACGCTGTCGGTGCAATGACAAACTTAATCATTCCCCTTAGTGATGGCTCTGATGGTTCTTATTTTTCACATCGGACTGCTTGTTGCTTATAGAGCACTGCCTGTTGATAACAGCGAGGCAGTTGCAAGCTGCACTGTATACCACCCCATTAGCCTACAGGAAAGCATGCTCATATCACCATTATCTAGTACTATCACCTGACACAATTTGTTTGTCTCTTCCACTTTTTGCATCTTGTCATTAACCAAGATCAAGGGGTCTTTGGGGCAGACACTGTCTTGTTACTACAAGAGGCCACTGTGCTATGTGCTGGATCACAGCTTCATGTAAAGAGCTGTGCAGAATAAGACATCTCTCCCGTGTAGAGCACTCCTATAACACACCACTGTTCCTAACTGGTGCCTCGAAGTGCTATTGCAATATTAATAACAACAACAGTGATATGCGCATGATAAATCCATGGATAGATCACATTAGATGGAGCCAGCAATCAAGTAATAATATTCTGGTTTTGTATGTATGATGCTATGTGTTGGGTCAGTGTCAAATTATTATGAATTGCTATGACTGATATGAATGTGGTAAGCATGAGTTTGGTATGGCTTGGTATGTCGGAATCTGCTAGAGGATTCTGGGAGCAGGATTCTCTTAGCATTAGATAAATGGTGTGGAAAATTACTGGCAGTGCTAAAACAGCACCTGAATGGTTAATAAAGGCTCAATCTGTGTGTGTGTTTCAACATCGAACTTTGGAAGATCAGCAAGGGAACCAGCTCACGTAAAATCATGCAATCAGTGGGCTTAGTACAAGCTGACCTGGGTCAAAATGACCACTCTGGGTGGCATCACGGGAAGAGCTTAAGTGAATAATTGATAAGAGGGTGATTGAACTTTGGTCTGTGTCTGCTTTGCAGTCCCTTCCAAAATATTAATTAAAGAAAATCAGTAATAAGACACCCACAAGCCATATTTCTGGGACATGTGACTCCGTTAAGCAAAGGCAAATGCTAAGCAAAGTAAATTAGTTAATTGGGGAACTAACTTAACATCTGAAGACAGAAGTCCTCAGGATGACACTTGACGGACCAAGTAGCTGAGAGGGGAAAAGAAGAGAAGGCTTCTCCATCTAGAATTGGTAGATAAACCTGCTTTGTTTGCCGATCAGGATACTGTGTAAGGCTAACATAGTTATTGAGGAAGAACAGGAGGACTTGTGGCACCTTAGAGACTAACAAATTTATTAGAGCATAAGCTTTCGTGGACTACAGCCCACTTCTTCGGATGCATAGTCCAACGAAAGCTTATGCTCTAATAAATTTGTTAGTCTCTAAGGTGCCACAAGTCCTCCTGTTCTTCTTTTTGCGGATACAGACTAACACGGCTGCTACTCTGAAACCAATAGTTATTGAGGGTTTATGCTTGAGGAACTGAGGCTTATTGGGAAAGATGTGTACTATGTAAACTTAACTACTTGTGTAATTCCTTCTCAAATAAATTACTGTGCATTAAGCATATTGGTTTCCGAATTCTCACTGGTACCGGTAACAATGCGCCCAGCTGTGGGCCACTAAAGATCTATTTCAACACTATGTATGTCCTCTTTATGAGAGCTCAGAACAAAGGATAATGTGAATTATCTGCCAAATTAGAGAGGTAGGAGAGCTTCACAGAGGCACTGTTGCAGCAAACGAATTAAGCATGTGTTTAAGTTTAAGACATTGACATCAGTAGGACATTTTACATGCTTGGCTGAATAGAGATGGAATTATCATGTTCTTATCAATTTTGCTGAATCAGGGACAGAATAGATCTGGGTTCAGACAACTATACAAGTCTTCAAACAGAGTTTGTGTTCTTAATGCACTAAAGGAATACCTGAGAGGAATATCCAAGAGTTTGACTATAAATCAGTATACTTAGTTTTTGCTTATGCACAAATCAAAACAGATATAGTTAAATCAGTGCAACCTCTACTGTGGATGCAGTAATACCAGCATAAACTAGCTTTATATAAAAATCAGCCCTTTTATTTTGATAATTAAGTGGATACAAACACTCTGATAATTACTATAACCACGTTCACACCTGGGAGTTTCATTAAATGTAACTATATCTGTTTTTAAAGTGATGCTGTTTTTATAATGATTTAACTATGTGTAGATCGGCCCTAACAGGAAAATCTAGCAGTGGCTACTTTCAACTTGAAGATGTGTTTGTTTTGTTTAAAAACAACCCAACATGTTTTTAATGGAAGCATTTGAATAACTGACATTGAAATGCTGTAAAGGCCAAGGGAGAATAACGTATTTACAACCCCAAAATGCTCTCCTCTCTTTTCATCTCTCTTTCCACTGCGGAATGGCGATTCAGTTAAGGAAACAGTTCTCATTCTTTTGGTGTGTGGCTTGGGGGCACAATTAAACCTGCGTGCTGCAGTGGAATGTATAGCCCTGCTCTGAGAGGCTGTGCTCCCCAAGTTGATTAGAAGTCAAAGTTAACTGCTGTGGCAGCAGCTCTGAATCATGTCCCCCCCATTCCCGTCCCCCCCACATGCTGGATAGACAGACGTCTGGAGGTTCAAAAATATGTTCTGCATAAGCCCATAGACACTCTCCCCACAATCGACAATAAGGAGGATATGCCACTCTCTCCTGCCTCTTTACCCTCTCCAGTTGCATGATTTAGTGTGGGAACCTGCGAGGTCCCACATGCTCCCTGAGATAGCAGCAGGATCCCTTAACTGCACCTCTTGATTCAGAATCTCTCTTACATTTAGCGGCACGTGGAGTTTCTCCATGACTTGTGCCGAAGAGGGCAATATAGCAGCTGAAATGTTACCACGGCCAAGGTTTTAAATAGCTCCAGGATTTCAGAAGCCCCAGAGACCAGCTGAGTGTAGAAAGCAAAGCAGCAGCAGGACAAAGCAAAGGGGAGTGCTGAGGTCAAGCACCAGCTAGAGAGGACAAGGGCTCTCAGAGCCACTCACCAAGCCATGACCCTAACCAAAGGAAGGCACAGGAGTCACGTGGCCTTCCCAAGACAAGTCATACAGGAAGAAGTAGGGAAAGAGGGAAGATCATCTGGTCTCTCCTAAATAAGCAGACAGCTTCTCTCCAATGTATGTAAGTAAGAATGGTTATTACACAGCGGACTCACTGCAAAAACGTATGCATTCAGTTTGGCAGTGGGCAAAAATTACAGAAAACTCTTAGGCTATGGCTATACTAGAGAGATTACAGTGGTGCAGCATTTTGATTTATGAATACATCAGCAAAATGATCAGTTACATTTTGATTGCAAGCAGCTTATTTATGGCTAATAAAAGGCTGCTCTATTTTATGGTCCAAGGTGGAGATTTCTAACCACTATCCTTGCAAATTCAACTTCTGATTTGTACATGATACAAAAATGTTACTGTGAGAGGACAGAGACGGAACTATGTAAAGTCACTATGTGCAGGTAGCATTCTTGCTCAACTGTTAACACAGTAAACCTACTTGCACATTAGATGTCTTTAAATTTACTTGCTTCCTGGGTTGCGATTTGGTGTGAAATTAAAACTAAACAAATCTCAGCCTAAGTTTCCTATTACAGGAGCCTTTTCCTAGGGTTTCTCACTGCAGGACCCCTCTGGCCAAGGGAAACATTCAGATCTCAATAAACAAAACTCCTGTGTTGGAACTAAGAGGACCTAACTAGTGTGGGTGCCAAGATGAGTCAGGAAAGCAGCTCTACATCTCTGAGCAAGGTCCTAGAATCAGACACCCTATTTCAGTCATTCTTACAAAATCACCTTGTCTTTCAAGTGTAGAATTTAGTAAAAAATATAAAGGGCTACACTGACACACAACATAACTGATCATACCACTGTTGCCTTTCAGATTCCTTATGAAGTAGGTTTTTTTTTTTTTTGGCATTGCCCATCTGCCTCGGACTCATTCAGTCAATAGATCCATTAACAGTAGGTCTGAATTGTTGGCCTCCTCTTGGAATGTAGTCATAGTTGGCATTCCAAATTCCCCAGGATTGTGGCTCTGCTTCTCTCTCATTCTGCTATTTTCTTAGATACTAGTTTTGCTTCCCATGAACTCCAGATCCATCAATCAATTGCCAAACCAATTGCTGAGGCCACAAGACCAAAACCAAAACAATCCCAGGAACACCAAGGAACTGGCTGGACTGATAAATGGCAAGACCAGCAACGTACTCCTATTGGGCAGATTAGTGAACTCATCTGTCGTACGATGTTGTATTTTTAGCATTGCAAGAGTTCACGAGCCTCACCCAGCTGTATCTTTCTATAATGAATGTATCACTTAATAGAACTCATTGAGTTCAATCTTAGAATCCTAGCTCAGTCCAGACTCCCATTGACTTCACGTTAACTGATATCAATGGGTGCTTTGCCTAAAGACTACGAGATCAGGCATCCCTGCCTCACTGAGCTTCAGCCACGCTTTCGGCAACTTTACTGAAAACAGTCCAAATGAGCGCTCCGATTGCTTCCAGCGCTGGCTCCTGGGACCGTTACTAAAACTGATGTGGAAAACAGTTCTCAGCAATCTGGTGTGTGTGCAAAAATCAGTGCCCCACAAGACCACACAGAGTTTGAAACACGCATAGATCATGAACTCAGCATGACAGTATTAAAAAAAAAAAAAGCCTAATTCTGCCCTCAGATACACCTGTGCAACCCCCAGTCACTTCAGTGGGCTGTAAAGAGATTCACGGGATGTAACTGAGGGAAGAACATGCCCTGAGGTCGGTGTCCTAATGCATGGCTACATTGTTGCATGGCACATACAAATCCAAAGATTAAGCAGTTCAGACAACTTCATTTAAGAATGTACATCTGACCAATTGAGTTTCTCAGGAACTCAGGATGGATGTCCTCCTCTTCCATTCAATTGAAGAATTAGACCTGGCTTGGGTCCCTGAGTGTACAACTCAGGAGGTTTAGAGATCAAGAAAAGCAGTTGGACCTTCTGAGATGTTCTCAATGGTTATGTTTCCAAGGTCACATTGTGGATCCTAAAATGTAAGAAGTTTGAAGCTTTACAAACTAAACTGATTAGGGGTTTGGAACGGGTCCCATATGAGGAGAGATTAAAGAGGCAAGGACTTTTCATCTTGGAAAAGAGGAGACTAAGGGGGGATATGATAGAGGTATATAAAATCATGAGTGATGTGGAGAAAGTAAATAAGGGAAAGTTATTTACTTGTTCCCATAATATAAGAACTAGGGGCCACCAAATGAAATTAATGGGCAGCAGGTTTAAAACAAATAAAAGGAAGTTCTTCTTCACACAGCGCACAGTCAACTTGTGGAACTCCTTGCCTGAGGAGGTTGTGAAGGCTAGTACTGTAACAGCATTTAAAAGAGAACTGGATAAATTCATGGAGGTTAAATCCATTAATGGCTATTAGTCAGGATGGGTAAGGAATGGTGTCCCTAGCCTCTGTTTGTCAGAGGGTGGAGATGGATGGCAGGAGAGAGGTCACTTGATCATTACCTGTTAGGTTCACTCCCTCTGGGGCACCTGGCATTGGCCACTGTCAGTAGACAGGATACTGGGCTAGATGGACCTTTGGTCTGACCCAGTACAGCCGTTCTTATGTTCTTAACTCCTTATCAATGGTCAAAATGAGGCACAATTCATTTTAGCCTCAAACTTGGATTTACTGCAAAATTTGTGGCTATGATTCACTTTCACCTAAGCAATTGTGTGCCTCTTCTCATGCCAGTGTGTTTTGTAGGCAACACACTGAATAAACATCAGATTTGATTTCTAAGATGATTGCACAGTATTGTTTCAGTACTGTGCAATCTGCATTCTGATATTAGATAACAGATAAGAACCGCATTTTTCCTTAGACCTAAAATGCAAAATCTCCTTGTCTGCCTGTTGGTCACAGGCCGAATGATCCAACACATACATTAAAATTACTTCCTTGACTCGTTCTTTTTTTCCTTTTTCTGTGACAGCCGATTTGTGTTTCCTTCCCTCACTACTCTAGAATATTGGTATCTGGCAAGAGCCAACAAATGCTAAGTGAACTGCTGGAGGGGACTTGAGAATTGATCACCTTGTTTTTAACAAGGCAAAAGACTGTACTCATAGCAACAGAGTAACCAGCAGTTTCCTGTAGGCTTCAACTGAACTTTCTACCACGTCAGTAGTAAAGAGCT